AAACCCGAATAACCAAAGATCCACATACAAATACCCGCGAGAACCTCAGAAAACATATATATATATATATATTTCCAGAATTTTTTAAAATTTGGAATTAAGGTCTAGGAAGGAGAACTTGTTTTCACTGCCTTCTGCGTAATTGTTAGCAACAAAGTCGTAAACTGTGGGTTTCATTTAATGTTAGTCTTTTTATTTTTGTTGGAGTGCATTTTGTTCTGAGCCATTTTGGATCAAGGGCACTCTAATATATCAAGCAAGATCTCATCCCTTGTAGGGATGTTTCTGGAAAGAAAATTATTTTTCTGTGGAAGAAAAGTTCAGGCCAAAACAGAGAAGGTTGTGTAACATAACAGTATATTTAATTTTTCTAGCCTGGCCAGGACAGGGTTATCAAACTGATATTTGAAATGAACAAAAGGAATCAGAATGCAAAAAAAAAAAAAGGAGAGAGATTTTTGCACAAGGAAACCTTGTTTGCACACTAAAGAAGTCCAGGTAATCTTTGACTTACAACCACAAATGAGGCCCAAAATTCTGTTACTAAGCGAGACAATTGTTCAGTGTGTTCTGCTCCCTTTTTTACAACCTTCCTTGCCACAATTAAGTGAAATGCTGCCATTGTTAAGTTAGTAACTCGGTTGTTAAGTGAATCTGGCTTCCCCCAATGTCTTTGCTTGTCAGAAGGTCGCAAAAGGGGATCATGTGACCCCAGGATACGGCCACCATCATAAATATGAAGCCATTTGCCAAGCGTCTGAATTTTGATCACGCTGCAATGGTCGTAAGTGTGGGAAATGGGCATTAGTCACCTTTTTTTTTTCCAGCGCCATTGCAAACTGGGAATGGCTACTGAACAAATGGTTGATAACAACTGGCTGTGCTATCTCGGCATACTGAGAAACCTCAAGGGAAAACAATTGTCTAGTTAGAGACTGGAGAAACTCTACTTTATGGGTAAGGATGTCTTTCAGCCATGATCAGCACCTCTTGGTAATTAAGAGTCAACGGTGTTGAACCTACAACGTAAAGATGGGCAGGTTGGGTGGGCACGTTGAATGTGCAGTTTCGTGGTCCTTAAAGCCATCGTCTTAAACCTCACGAGTCAGCTCTTCCACGCATTTTTCTTTTCTTTTTTGTAAATATTTCTCAGAAAAGTCACTGTTAAGTCCTCCTTTCATTGATTGTGTCAGGGCCTCTAACAAATCCACCCCCATTCAAATCATAAATCTCTAGCCGCATCTCCCAGAGTAAAAAAAAATGATTTATTAGGAGTGACCATCTCAGCGTTAGCTGGGTGCAGCCGACTCTAAAATACATCATTCATTTCCTCCTTGACCCTGGTCTTCCTCCCACCCCCTGGATGTATATTCTCCAATGGGATACATCCATAGCCAAGAGTCATCAGTCATACTCTCCAGTAATATTCCTGCGCGCCGATAGCTTTGGGCTGCCAAGGTGATTATCTGAGGCATTTAAGGAATGCACTGCTTTCCCCCACTCCCTTTCTGCTGGCAACTAAAAAGACCAAAGGAATATGTTTTAGTTGACAGATTGGGCTTTTGCCTGCAGGACAATGATTGTTTTCTATAAACGTTTATTCTCCTCTCCCACATTTTCCCCCCTCCCTTACGCATCAGAATATCAACTTTTCAAACTTCACAAGCCTCTTACAATGATCAGTATCTTGCAAAGGTTTGAATGGGCTCGTTTCATTCGTTTTTGTATATTTTGTCCTAACTGGTATTTTTGGAGGGGCAATGAGCAATTCGGAGTTCCTTGTGCAAACCAACAAATGAAAGTGTTCTCGCTTTGTGGGGGTTTGTACACGGAGCCGGTCCTATCCCGAGGCAGAGGAAAGCAACCGTCTTAGATGGAAGGGCTCCCGTCTGTGACTCTTGAGACATAACGAGAGAGGATGGAGGATGATCTAAGCATAGTTGCTACTGGATCAGCTCATTAGATAAACCCATGAAACAGGCAGGATCTGGTCCTGGATATATCTAGTAATGGGATTGAACTGGATGGTAATCTGGAGTATTCAAAATAATTGTGGTGCCTGTTGTGGTTTCCTGCTGTGAACTTGGGGACCGGGAATTATAGAGGGGAGGTTTTGCTAACAGAACAAGGAAAAAAAATAATCTACTTCGTAACTTGATATAAGAGAGGTTGTATCGTTAAAAGGGCACCCAAAAGATGCGAGTTCAGAATTCGCAGAAATGGGGGTTCCTAAGATTCAAATAGGCCAGTTTCTCGGTGCCGTTTTAAGGTACGTTTAAATGCTACGTGGAATTGATAAACAATTGGTTTATCCAATTGTTTGAAAAACGCGATACTTTTCATGCATTTAGGATACAACTTTTACCTTCAACTACGTTCAAGGCCAGTACAAAAACTCCAAGGAAGTATTTATGTGTGTGTGTGTGTCTGGTTGGGACTATAAATATAGTTTCACCAGACATGAAATTGACCCTAGCCAGATACAGCCTCTGACAAGTAAGTTACGCCAGCACTAACTTGGTTAACTATGGTTCATACATTAGTGGTAGTCCTCCATGTACGAGCACAATTGGGAGCAGAGCCTCTATTGCTAAGTGATGCAGTTGTTAAATGAGTCACACGGTCCTTTTTCTGTCGTTAAATGAATCACATGGTCATTAAGCAAAACCAACATCCCCCATTGAAGACCCCTTGGGAAGGTTGCAAATGGCCATCGCATGGGACGCCTGCAACTGTCATAAATATATATCGGTTGCCAATTTTGATTGCGTGACCGGTTGTAAGTCATTTTGTCAGCCCTCCCTACAGTTGCTAAGCAAATGGTTGTTAAGTCAAGGATGACCTATATTCCTTAGTGCAGTGGTGGTGAACCTTTTTGTTGTGGTGTGCCGAAAGCACCCACAATGCAATGAGCACCGCCCCGCCCCCCGCACATGCACCGGGAGGCTGAAAACGGGCCCGTTTCGGCACTTCCGGTATTTCCAGAAGCCCCGTTTTTCGGCCTCCTGAGGGTGAGAGGCTTCCCTCAAGCCTCCAGGAGGGCGAAAATGGCCTCAAACGGGTCGAAAATCAGCTGGGAGACATGCGCGTGAGCTGTGCAGGTAAATTTGGCTGTGGCTCGCCTGCCCACACAAATGACTCTACTTGCCACCTGTGGCACGCGTGCCATAGGTTCGCCATCATGTCCTTAGTTCTACAAGTGGCTTAAATGGTGGAACGATCCGCTTCAATTCCACCGGAAAGATTGTACTCCCCTAAAGTAACGGCTCAAAACGATGCTCTCTTTTAATCCGCCTACCAAAGTCAACCCAACTGCCGAGGTGAATCTTTCTTCAACCGCAGTGGCGATGTGGTTCCGTTGCCACCTCCTTCCCGACTGCACCTCAAAAGGCTCAAAGACTAGTTTAGGTAGCACCAAGTCGGTTCTCTGGGCGCAGAGCTTATGCCTCCCAAACCTTGGTTGGCACCTTCCTGAATTCTGCCAAAGGGTAGGGCCGGCCAGCCCTGAACATAGCTGCCACGTGGCTGGCCAGTTCAAATAAATAATAATTGCCATTTGCATCTTACATATATATATATATATATATATATATATATAGAATAACTTTGCTTTAAAAAACGGAGCTTCTGCCAAGGGTAGCAGAGGACACTGCACCGATCCCTGAGAGCTCCTTGTGTGCAATATGTAAATTTACTTAAATTATGTACATTCTACCCATGTAAAAGTGAGCAAGGCCTTCTGAAAAACGTTCTTTTTAACCAGGGATGTACAGTCGAGAAGTTGCCGCCGAGAGCAGGAAGAGCAATTGTAGGCCTTGTATTATGCAGTTGGTTGCTGCTAGTATTTTTGGGAATGTATACATATGTGTATATACACACACACCTGCACATACATACATACATGTGTGTATGTATGTAATTTAAAATATTTTTGGCTATGTACAGATATTCTAAAAATGAGAGTTTAGCTTATTCAGGCTGGTTTTTCTGGAAGAGTCTTTGTGATCTTTGAAACCGTGTTTGACAATCAACACCGACCTATTGTTGACTGATATGTATTTAATTGGGGTGGGAATTGTAGTTTTTTTTTTTTTTTGCACTGACAGCTTGCAGGTTGTTCATACTTAATGATGTACTGTACAAAAGAGAAAAAAATGTTTGCATAGCATCCATCCCCAAAGTTGGTCAATCCTTCATGTATCAAACCTCGTTCGCTAAGTACACATTCCAGGGTCTTA